GTGTGAGATGAGGGGCAGAACAACACGGTAGTTGTGAGGAGGAATTCTCTACTGAACTTATTATTTAGATTCCTAGTTGTGTAATGTGGTATTTGCTCGTTGCTGTGCTGGTCAGAAGTCGCTCAGGGCCAAGGAGCCTGACGAACATCTGTTTTTTTCCAGGTCTGCACCGGAACAGATTGTCAGTGCATGGCGTGAACATCTGCTCTGTGCAGATGAACAGTTGTGCCGCTTGCTTCATGCCAGAGCCTCTGAAAGGTACATTTCCCTGCAAAACACTGGTCTGACGGTCAATGTTTTGTTAGAAGCATTTGCATCAGTTTTTGGAAAGGGAAGGTCTGACTTCCAGTGGTTTAATAGAACATTTCTGAGTTTTATTCTTGGGCTGTTTCAGTGCTTTCTAGAAAATAAAACATGCAAAGGGTAAGGTTGAATTGATTTGGCTTATTTTGTTTCTCCTCTGCTTTTCAATAAAACAGCCCAGAAAGAGTTCCTGTAGTCTGCCAGAAATGTGTTTTTTGCTGTGGAATCACAGAATAATTCGGGTTAGAAGAAGACTTTGGAGGTTATCTGGTCCAGCTCCAGAGCAGAGCCAACTTTGAACTTGGCTCTAACTGAGAAGGGAAATTTAGTGTTCTGGGAAAGGAAAAACCAACATGCGAGTTACACCTGTGACAGGAGCAGAATTGTTGTCCAGTATCTTTCCTCTCACGCTGAAGAGCAACTGGGCTGCTCAAGTGTGTCTGTTCCAAGAAAAGTAAGTTAATTACAAAGGACTCCTGTTGTAACTTGCTTTCCTAAGCCTCAAACTGTTTCACATTGATTATTTTAGCCTGCACTGACTAAGATTAAAAAATAGGTTCAAATTTAATTGAAGCTTCATTACAAATTGGAGTACTAATGGCAGTCATGCAGATTTGGAACATATTGCATCTTTCAGTGAACCTTTATTAAGTGGTAATGCTGTTGCACATTGTGTGCGGAAACTTCGAAAAAACAAGGGAGTAATTGTCAAGTAATACATCCAAATAACAGAACAGATTATAAGGCTACTAAAGATATGTCTTATTAGCATTCAGAAAATATCCTGGATTAAAAAAAAAAAGTTTATAACCCCCTTTAATTGAAAATATCCTTATGAAATACACTAGGGGCTGAAATATTAGATTATTAATGATTGTCACAAGTGAATTCAAGCACGTAATTGCTTTCCTTAATTTAATTTGGGGAAAAAGAGTGTGTTGCAGATGCTGTCCGACGGGATAGACACAGACCAACCTCTCAGGGGAAGCAGTTTGAGGCACCCAGTCTATGGTGGATGGAACCACTCTCTCGGGAAAGAATATTCCGTAGCAGTAATGCAGAAATCATGACTTTTCCTCTCTAAACTGCGGTTTGCTTTGAGTCGGCAGGAGCTTCCAATAATCGTAATCGCAACACTGGCAATTACCAGTTGTCTGCCACCGTGAAGGCAGACGGCGGCTACTTGGCGGAGCTCTTCATGCTCAGGAAGAGGTCTGTCTGCTGGTATAACCTAAATAGTGCCAGGGACAGGGGTTTCGCTCCAGTTTTTTCCTCCTGGGTTGCAGTTTTCTCCCTCGGGAGCGCTGAGGGCGCGCTGCCCCCCGGGGGGCCGGCGGGGGGCGCTGACCGTT